TGGTTCCGACTCATAGTGACCCTGTACAGGGTTTCCAAGGCTGTAAATCTTTATGGGAGTAGAAAGCCTCATCTTTCTGCCGCGGAACAGCTGGTAGTTTCGAACTGCTGACCTTGCGGTTTGCAGCCCACTACACTACCAGAGCTCCTTAATTATATATTCTGAACTACAAATTTAGTCTGAATGGGCTTGATGGCTGTGAGTGTGGCTTTGATTTTGGTCTATACACTGTATTGTCTAAAATTGTTTCATAATTACAATAACAGTACAATGTTGTTGTTGTCAGGTGCCATTGAGTCGGAACCGACTCATAGCAACCCCATGCACAGCAGAACGAAACAATGTCCGATCCTGGGACAACCTCACTACCGCGGCCACATTCGATGCCATTAATGATGCCACCTGGCCGATCCATCTCGTTGGGGGTCTTCCTCTTTTTCTCTGACCCTCCATCTTACCCAGCATGACATCCTTTTCCAGCGACTGTTCTCTCCTTACAATATGTCCAAAGTATGAGAGACAAAGCTTACTCATCCTGGCCTCCAAGGAGCACTCTGGCTGTACTTCTTCCAAAACAGATCTATTGGTTCTTTTGGCAGTCCACGGCACTTTCAGTATTCTCCTCCAACACCACAATTCAAAAGCATCAATTCTTCTACGATCTTCCTTATTCACCGTCCAGCTTTCTCATCCATATGAGGTTATTGAAAATACCATGGCTTGGGTCAGGCGTACCTTAATCCTCAAGGTCATATCTTTGCTCTTCAAGACTTTAAAAAGTTCCTGTGCAGCAGATTTGCCTATTGCAATACGTCGTCTGATCTCTTGACTGCTGTTTCCGCGAATGTTGATAGTTGATTCAAGAAGAATGAAGTCTTTGACAACTTCAATCTTTTTTCCGTTGATAAGAATGTTGTTTAATTGGTACAATGGTGAGGATTTTTGTTTTCTTGACATTGAGATGCAATCCATACCGAAGGCTGTGTTCCTTGATCTTCATCAGTAAATGTTTCAAGTCCTCTTCACTTTCAGCAAGCAAGGTTGTATCATCTAGTTTATTGTTAAGAGCTGTCGAGTTGGTTCTGACTCAGTGACCCTGTATAAGGTTTCCAAGAAGCCCTGGGTAGATTTGAATCCCTGGTTAGCAGTTAGCAGTGAATTTAAATTTTGCCTCCCTGGTGTGGCGCTGTGGGTTAATGCGCTAGACTGCAAAGTCAGTTTGAACTGCAAGGCTGGTGCTTCAAGCTCACCAGCCGCTCCTTGGAAACCCTCTAGAGGGTCGCTATGGGTCGGAACCGACTCGACGGCACTTAACAACAACACGGAGTGCTAACTCCTGGAAAGAGGAAGACATTCAAGGAGATGGACTTGCACAATGACAGCAACAATGGGTTCAAATATAGTCATGACTGTGAGGATGGAGCGGGACTGGGCAGTGTTTCCTTCTGTTGTACACAGACAGGGTCACTATGAGTCAGGCGGCACCTAACAACAGTTCCTGGAAATCAGTTCCATTCACTTAACTCTTCTAGGGCACTGTGCAGTAAGTACTTGTTCTTGCCCTCTAAAACCTTATAGTCTTATGATAAAACATAGCAAGTGAGTATATGCGAGGTATGCATAGATTTTCAAGAAGTAAGCATAAAATGCTATCTAAAATCATACTGGGGAACAATTAATTCCGCAAGAAAGTGGACCCAGAAACGCTACAGGTAGGTAGTAATATTTCAGGTGACCCCCTGGTAAATAAACAGGACTTTTGACCTCTGATAAAATAAATAAATAACAGGACTTTGTCAGGCGTTTAGACAGGAGAAAAATGTAATAAATGGGGGAGGGGAGGGTGCTAATGTCAGTACAGAGAGAGGTACACTTTCTGAGCCTTTCCACTTTGTTTTAATACCTGTCCTCTATTGCGGGGAAACAAAAGTACAGTCCGTAAGTATATAATCTACATAGCAATGGGAGCCAAGGGAGAAAGGGTACAAAGGACTAATTCAACAGACCACCAGACAGCGTGATCTCACAGGTAAACCCCGCTGAATTAGTCCGGTAAGCAAGGGACCGAAATAGATCAGAGTCACCCGGTCCAAACCTTACCTGCCGCCCCTCCCCCACGCAGAGCCCACACCGCGGCCCACTTGAAATTTGTTGATTGTCCTCCGGCCCTCGGCGTTCTAAGCCCGCCTCTCTGAGCGCTCCATTGGTGGGTTCTTTTAGCCAATCTAGGAGAAGTCGAGGAGGGACGTCCGCCTACTAGAAGCAGAGGTGGAGGAGGGAGGAAGTGAGCCCGCCGGAACCTAGGCTTGGGTGACGGGTTTCGGAGAGAAAAAAGGTTGCGGAATCAACCAGGGGTCAGTTAATTTCCGTCCTCACCCAGATGGAGCAGCATCTGGCTAGCAAGAGTTCAGAGGAACCTGATGCTCAGATCTCTCCGACTGACGCTGTTGTAAGAAGGATCCACTGAGAAGCCAAATGAGATCCTCTACAGAAAAGTGAACCTCTATGAAAACTGCTCTTAGGAATCAGTCTCTCTGTGACCCTGGCTTCGCAGCTTGACCTCTCCTTCATTACTTCCACTTTCCCTTCAATACTACACTGCCTGCTCCAGCATCATCAATGGACACTTCTTTTCTAGAAATATTTTTCTGTGGGTTGTTGCCTTGTCTGTGAGAAGGTGGGAAGCAGGTTCGAGGAAGAAAGGATTGAGGATCAGAGAACAAGTATTGGGAGGACTGGAGGGAACCCCGTGTTTTCTGCATTTTCCACTGTTTTCCTAGTGTCCTGTAAAGGAGGACAGGGTAGAATGGAGAGTCCTGCTTTCACAGAAACAGAGGACAAGAGGTCAAAGTAAAGACAAAATCTAGGAGTTAGTCAAGAATTCCCCAGATGTCAGAGAAAACGAGTCCAGACACTTCACTAAGAGGCTGTAGGTGTAGTGGCAAGTGCCCCGTCTTCAGAATAGGGCAGATTCATAGTTGTGAGACTTTAGAGAGCTAAACCTCCTTTTTTTGTCATCTATAACAAGAAGGTAATAGTTCTTACAGAGGTGCTGAAGTTTGGAGATCGTGCACCTAGTGGGTGTTTAATAAATAAAAGCTGGTAAAATGTGTAGCTTCACTGCAAATATTTCTTTCCCCCTTTGCCGGACATTATTTTTAATATGTTGTGTCTGGTTGCCGCCTGCCTGGGATATCACAAGACCCAAGGTGAGCTTTCCAAATCCTTAGGATATTTTTCTCATCCCTCACTGCTCCTGGTGTTTCCCAGCTGGACACAAACTCATTCCTAAAATGTGCAGATGGAAGGTATGGTGACCATGGAAATAGGGCAGGTGGCAAGGAGAGACACAGACAGTGGGAGAGACCCTTAATTACAAATAGGGATAGAGAAGACAGATAAGGAACACTTGGGACAGAGACCTCCAAGCAAGATGAAAAAAATAATGAATCTAAGCAAGATTAAGATAAAGGGATGCAATGTGTGTGTTAGCTCGTTTTCCTGTAGCTTTTCTATCCCACCAATCCACGACTACCTAGGATATGGGGAGGCTGTATCTGGGAATGCCCTTTGCTGTATCTAAAAATGATCCCAGAAATCTACCCTCTCCAAACTAAGAGATCTATGCAAGGGAACTGAGGTCCAGCTTGTGTGTGGTGTGTGTTCTATTTAGGGGTGGTGGTCGAGATGTACCGCGGTCTGACCCCTGGCTGGACCCTGCTCTCTGACATTTAAACTACAAGAAGGCAGCTAGATACCTCTGCACAGTATGGATACCGGTTACCTCCATCCCTCTGCACAGTATACCATGTGCTGAGTGTGGCAGGTCAGGTCTGGCGCACAGGCGCACAAAAATACACGAAGCGCCGAAAATGGGGATCTGCTGAAGCACAGCGAGGAATCGGGATGGTCCGAGTCTGGGTTCGTAGAGGAGTTCCTCTAAGGAACACTTAGGTTTGTTGGGGCCGAAGGGAGGTCGACTGGGAAAGGGATGTCAGGGTTGGAGCCTCTAGATTTTGAGGGTTTTATGTGTACATGAGTGGGGGAGCGGTTTGGTGCCGGACGCCCCCACCCGCAGAGACGCGGCTATAAATAGCATGGCAGAGCTCCGCCCGCCCCCCCAGCCTCTCTCCTCTCGAGTCGGCGCTGTGCCCGGGGCGCACCGGGAGGAGGGACAAGGATCCTGCGCCGGGGCTCAGATACTGACACCAAGGAGATCCGGGTGCCCCCCCACGCCATGTGGGCCCCCGGGAACTTGGTTCCCCCACCCCGGCTGCCTGGTGGCAGCAACCTCAATCCTGGCTCCGTGGAGGTTCTGCGGACATTCAGGTATCTATATGGACGCACTGCCTGGGAGGGGAAAGAGCAAGGAGTGATGGGGAACATATCAGCAGGGGCAAAAGAAACCCCCAATTCTTCCCCACCCGCTTTAGGTCCCAATCGCAAGCTGCTTCCCTCCCCCTACTCAATATCTGGGGCTGTGGCAACCTAAAAGAGGTTAGGAATGGGAATGTGTGTGTGAATGTATGGGTGCATGTGTGTGGATGGGTTGGCGTTCAGCATCCTAGAAAGGGGTATTCCAAGTGCGGATAATAAAAGGGGGTGCTGGAAAGGTCTGATAAGGCGTGGGGTGAGGGTGGGGGTGCGGATATCCCCGCGCGTGCACGTACGTATCTGCACGCGCGCTCGTCCTACAGTGCGGGTGCATCCTTTCCACCTCCTCAGGCATGCGTTGGGGAGCGGCGGGGAAGGGGCGTCTCAGAGGCATGAGTTAGGAGGGACTATGTGCGGTGGAGATCTCCCCCGCTCCACACTGGGTCCCCCTCTATCAGTGCCTCAGTTTCCCTGTCTGTATCTGTCTATAAGGTCTCTCTCTTTCTCGCAGAGATCGGCTTTGCCACTGAGCCCTCAGGCCTCTTCCAACCACCACCCTACGCCCCTAGCCATCCTCCGCAGGTCCCAATCCCGGCTCCATCGGTGCCCTTGGCCCAGCTGCAGCAATGCTGCACACCGAGGGCCATGCTCTTCTTCGGGCCGTGGGTCAGGGTAAGCTACGTTTGGCCCGTTTGCTTCTAGAGGGGGGCGCCTACGTAAATGAGGGTGATGCCCAGGGGGAGACTGCGCTAATGGCGGCTTGTCGGGCCCGCTACGACGACCCCCAGAACAAGGCGCGCATGGTACGCTACCTCCTGGAGCAAGGCGCAGACCCCAACATCACAGACCGCCTGGGGCGCACTGCGCTCATGCACGCTTGCGCCGGGGGTGGGGGCGCAGCCGTAGCCTCACTGCTCCTGGCGCACGGCGCAGACCCCTCCGTCCGAGATCACGCGGGTGCCTCAGCACTTGTCCACGCCCTGGACCGCGGGGACCGGGAGACCCTGGCCACATTGCTGGATGCCTGCAAGGCCAAGGGCACGGAGGTCATTATCATCACCACAGACACCTCGCCCTCGGGCACTAAGAAGACCCGGCAGTATCTCAATTCTCCACCGTCACCGGGGGTGGAGGAACCTACCCCTGGCCCCCCTAGCCCGGGGGCCTGCACATCGCCTTCGGAAATCCAACTGCAGACTGCAGGAGGAGGGCGGGGGTTATTATCTCCTCGCACCCAAGAGGAAGAGGAGAAACGGGACGTATTTGAATTCCCTCTTCCCAAGCCCCCCGATGACCCCACCCCTTCTGAACCGCTCCCCAAACCACCCCGTCACCCCCCTAAACCACTCAAAAGGCTCAATTCCGAGCCCTGGGGTCTAGTGGCCCCTCCCCAACCAGTCCCGCCAGCCGAGGGGAGGCCGGGACTCGAACGCCTGACAGCTGAGTTCAACGGTCTGACGCTGACCGGTCGACCCCGTCTTTCTCGACGTCACAGCACCGAAGGCCCAGAGGACCCGCCCCCGTGGGCGGAGAAAGTGACGGGCGGGGGGGCTCTCTCTCGTCGAAACACCGCACCAGAAGCTCAGGAATCTGGTCTTCCTTCAGGGCTGAGGCAGAAACTGAGCCGCATGGAGCCGGTGGAGCTCGACACCCCCGGACATTTTTGCCCCGATTCGCCAGAGTCTAGCCGCCTGTCCCTGGAACGCCGCCGATACAGCGCCTCCCCGCTGACCCTCCCTCCAACTGGCTCGGTTTCCTCCCCGCGCCAGTCCCAGGAGAGTTTGCCAGGGGCTGTGTCTCCGCTGAGCGGGCGGAGGCGGAGTCCTGGGCTGCTGGAGCGGAGGGGCTCCGGGACGTTGCTCTTGGATCACATCGCTCAAACGCGTCCTGGCTTCCTGCCCCCACTCAACGTCAGCCCCCACCCTCCCATCCCTGACATTCGCCCGCAACCCGTAGGTCGGGCGCCTTCGATGCCCGCCCCTCCCCAAGCAGGGGCACCTGGTTCTCCCAGGACCAAGCGCAAGTTGGTGAGGCGCCACTCCATGCAGACTGAGCAGATCCGCCTGCTAGGGGGCTTCCAAAGTTTAGGTGGGCCGGGGGAACCAGGGCGTTGAGAGGATTGAGGAAATCAGGAAGAGTGGGTATCAGGGCCTTAATGTGACAGTTGGAAAAACCAGCTCACATACACACAGTGGACAAGCGGTTTCATGCATGTGCTCATGGGCACTGTATACACACACACAACGGGAAATGTGTTCACAAGCACAGTATTCTTATTTGCAGGGAAGGGTAAGTTCTCTTTGCTGGGTATACAGACACGTGCATTCCTGCCCTGGTTACTTTACATGTATGTGGGACTGTGTACCCACAGGCATGGTGCACCAATAAATACAGGGTCACTTGTGCTAGGGCTCCAAATGGGCCCCAAACTCACTGCATTTGTTCAGAAACAGTAGGGAATCCTTATTTTGGGGTCATCCCTGACCTCTTTGCCCTCCTGCTGAAAACTTTCCCTAAATGGCAATCCCTTGCTTTCCATGTGTGCCCTACAACACAGGCCCCATCATGGTTTTGCTCACTTTACCCTCTTCATGAATGCCCCACCCTGTTATACAGGTCTTGTTTCTCTTTCCAGGCCAGGCTCCTTGTTCACACTCTGCTTCCAGTCCCACTTTTCAGGATATCTTCCTCTTTACTCTTCTTGAGGGGCTTCCTACAGCAACCCCAGCCTCAGTTCTGCTGCTGCCCTCCTGCTCTTAGCTTCCTTTCTCAACTTCCTGCTTTTTATTCCCACACAGTTCCACCAACCAACCCATTCCAGCAGGTAGTCTCATTTCCCCAGGGGATGGGTCATGGGCTCCACGCTGCTCTTCTGTTCTGTCTGAGCTTATGAACACTCCTACAGGTAGAAGTGGGGAGTAACCAAAATTACTTCTCTCTCCACTTGACATATCAAATAAATATATTCAGAAGTCTCTGTTTTGTCACTCTTCTGCATGCTGGGTGTCTATGTGTGTGGGGAGAAGTCAGATGAAGAATGGGAAGGGAGAATAGTGCTGAATATAGCTATAGCAGTCTAGGGCCTACTTGGAGGCTCCAGCCACCTTCTTTCCAGGAAACCAACTAATTATGGTTGTAGAAAAAAAGGTAAGTGATCTATCTCCTGAAAGTTTTAAGGCCTTTGACAAGCTTTCTTTTCCCACAGTCTCTCTTATGTCTACCTTCAAACTTTTAAATCTAGAATTCTACAGAGTCTCTCTGCGGATGTATCCCAGTAGATTAGCTTCCTGTTTTTGATCACTTGGAGTTTTCCCCATGCCTGCTAACTTCCATTTCACCAAATGTGTCTCACTTATTTTCTTCTGCTTTGGACCTCTATTTCCATTCCTTGATTTTGAGCCACTGAGGGTGTAAAGAGAAGGGATGAGTTAGTGTAACCTCACCTAAGTGAAAATAAAAAGTGGTTAGAGTTGAGCTGCTAACCTCAAGGTCAGCAGTTCAAACCAACCAGCCGATGTGCGGGAGAAAGATGAGGCTTTCTGCTCCGGTAAAGATTTATAGCCTCAGAAACCCTATACAGGGCCATTATGAATGAGAACCGATTCCATGGCACACCACCACCACCTGGTCAAAATAACATGTTGGTCAGCAGACACAGTGGTGTGTGTAGGTGAATCAGAGGGAACTTAGCCTATCTGGTTCTATAAACAAGCGTACCTATCTTTATCTACCCCATGACTTTTTGTTTGTTGGGTTTTTATTTGTTTTTAATACTCTAATTGTTTCTCACTCTAATAGGTAGAAGGAACTGCAGTCTATTCTTTCTTACTTCCTCCCCCAACCAGCTGTTCCACGGGAGAAAGATGAGGCTTTCTGTTCCTGTAAAGATTTACAGCCTTGAAAACCCTGTAAAGGGTCACTATGAGTCGGAACCGACTCCATGGCACATAACCACCACCACCACCACCCCCAATCTAAAACCCACTGCCTTCAAGCTGATTCTGACTCATAGCAATCCTAAGGGGCAGAGAAAAAAGGCCCTGGGTTCTTCTGAAGAGCAGCTGGTGGGTTCCAAGCGTCATTTTGGTTAACAACCAAGAGCTTAACCATTGCATCACTAGGACTCCTTAGAATAAAATAGGTGAAATGATAAACTTACCCAACAACGTGGCATACGAAAAGATCAAAATATTGAGAGTCCAAAAACCTGTGTCTGAGCCTTTCCCATTTCCTAGTTAGTTAATTTTGGGCAACTTAGTCTCTCTGCCAATTTCCTTATCTATTAAATAATAAAATCTAGTTAGTGATTGTGATTATTAAGACAATGTAGCAAAAAGTACATTGCATAGTGCCTGACATTTAGTATATGCTCATTAAATGTCTAGCTCTTTCCTTATTTTTACTCTACCACCAATTTTTGTGATCTTGCACAAATCACATCATTTATCTTAGCTAGTTTCCTCATTGACATCTTAAAATGAAGTGACCAGACATTAATAAAATTCCTCTGGTCTCCACTTCTCCCCAGTCTTGTTCTATCCAGTCTTATTTTTCTTTCAAGCCCCGCCCCAGGAGTCAGGCCCGTTTTCTGGTACTCACCACAGGACTTCCAGAGACGCACCCTAGCTATGTTTCTCCCTTAAAGAGAATACCGCTTTTGCTTATTGCAATTGGCTGCTCCAAACCTTCGTACTCTCAATAATTTGCCTATCGTGGAACTGGAACCCGTCAGCTCCCGCCCCCTCTCCAGTGATTGGCATGGGACCTGGCTTGTCCCCGCCTCCGCTTGACTGATGGCTGGGCCGCGGCGCCGCCCTCGGTCCCCTAGCTGGCTGGGGAGGTGAGACCGTTAACTCGCCAGGCTGGCAGGCTGCGGGCCACTGCTCCACTGGCGGCCGAGATGGAGACCCTGCGAGCGCAGCGGTTGCAGCCTGGAGTGGGCACCGGCGGGAGGGGCACTCTGCGAGCGTTGCGGCCCGGAGTGACTGGGGCTGCAGCCGCGGCTACCACACCCCCAGCGGGCCCCCCGCCGGCCCCACCGCCCCCCGCCCCGCCCCCGCTGCTCCTGTCTGGGAGCCCGGGGCTGCCCCTGCCTCCTGGCGCCGCCGGCAGTCCAGCGGTGCTGCGGGAGGCCGTGGAGGCTGTGGTAAGGAGCTTCGCCAAGCACACGCAGGGCTACGGCCGAGGTGAGTCTTCGGGTCTGGCGGCCTCCGGGACCCCCTCAGTGCGGAAGCCTCGCTCCTAGTCCTCTGGATCGCTTTTCCTGGCAAGGAGCCTTCACATGCATTTCCTTTTGGGGAGATTCCTTCTGGCTACACACACACACACACACACACACACACACACACACACACACACGTTTAAGCCTTCTCCCCGCCCCCCTTTTATTGAGGTACTACTATATATTCAACAGGGATCCCTATTTTCAGATGCAACCCTCTTTTCTTCCTAACCTTTTCTTATTCAGGAATGGAATTCTTTCTGTAGCTTCACGCCATGACACATCTTTACCTTTGGGAATGGTTCCCTTCCCCTTTGTTATGGATCCTATCCTATATCTTAGATAGGAGGCATTTCTAGTCCATACCCTTTCTTATCTTCTGTACTCTCAGCCATTCTTGGACTCTCCTGTTTGTTCATTTACTCCATCACCTTAATCTCGGCTTCTTCATTCCTTTTTTACTTCACTCCGAAATTTCCAACACCGCTTCTGGGCACTTGTATGACCCCTTGCCTTGACTTCCACAAGTCACTCATAATAATTAATGCCTTTAAATCTAGGACCCATACCATCAAGCCTAGACCAGCTTCTTGTGACTTAGTACTTCATTTTGATGTCTATTGTAGTATAGGCTCTCTCGACTTGGGCCTCTCCGTCTGTCTGGCTCTGTTTCCCTGGCCTTAGGCCAAGGACTGAAGAAAAATCCTAGACTTTGGCTCCCTCGATGTTAAATTCTGTGTATGTGAGCCAGGCAGAAACTCGATTTCCACTGGAAATCTTTATCGTGAAGATGCCTAATATCTAGGGTTTCTGAGAAGGAGAGGTGAGGATCTTCTATGTTGTTTTTAACTATTGTAGAATTTTCTGTCTGAGTTCAAGTTCCAAATTTACATTGTAAATTACCAGTAATGGTAACAAGTAAGAGTGTAAATAACAAGTAATTATGAGCGTAAATAATACAGTTTGGCTAGTCCTGTAGAGATTTGAGGGTTTTCCCTAGACTGTCATGATTTTTTTTTTTTTTTCTTTTAAAAAAAGTATAGTGAAAAGAGCACACACAAGTTTTGGAGTCAGACAGGTCTGGATTAAATCCCAAATTAATTCTCTGACATTGTACCAGCTATTGTCCCTGGGAAAGTGACCTTACCTCAGTGAGCTTCATTTTACCAAGTGTTATGATGTGGTCTAAAGGAGATATTGTTCCTGACACATAATGGGCACTTACTAAATAAACACTGGACTGTTGAGCCACAGGGTCTGCAGTTTGAGCTTGTCAACTGCTCTGCTGGAGAAAGATGAAGCTTTCTGCTCCTGTAAAGTTTTAAAGCCTCATAAACTCTATACAGGGTCTATGCGTTTGAACTGACTCAACAGCACTTAACAACAAAAACAACAACTAAATGGTAGCTATTATTTCAATAAATCTCAAATTAGTTGGTTCATATTTCCTTGGGAAGAAAATGTCTCATTTTGTTGTATTCTCAAATACTGATGATATAAACCCAAGGAGTCCTGTGAAACACATTTTTAGATTTATATTGCTGTATATCCAGTCATTTATATTCAGTTTCCTTTCGTTCCGCAGGCACTCTGCTAGGTGCTGGGGATGCAAATGGATGTGATTCCAAAACTCACTAGGAGGGAATAGACTTTTTTTTTTCCTCCCAGTTTAATTCCTGGATTTAACAGGGCAATGTAGTGGAATTGCCATCAGCAATTGTCATGCTGCGTCAGGTCTCTATAAATCAAAAACCATGGGAAAGTCTTTTCCAGGAGGGGTAGCCATAAATCTGAAGTCTTCAGCTTGGAAACGTACAGGAGTTTATTAAAATTGCAGAGGAGTATATCTCTTCTTGTCTGTGTGACCTGGTTTGGCTTCTAATCTGAGACGCCAGTGAAACTTTTTCACTTCCCAAGAAGGGGATTGTGCTGACAAAGAGCAACAGTGAGACTGCAGACTCTGTGGTGAGGCTCTCTCCAACAGTCTCCCCACCTCCCACCACAGGTCTTCTCATTATTCTTGAGTTTCTCATTACCAGTCTGGATGTCCAGCCAGTACATTAGGAGAGTTTGGCAGATAGTTCAGTTTCAGGCAAGTAGAATCTATGTTGATTTGGCTCAGAAGAACTTCACCACATGGAATTACTTATTCTGCTTCGATTAATAAGCAAAACTGCCTTTGGCATGTACCCACATACCCATGTGACTGATAGCATGGTATTTGGGGGCTGGCTTTATTTCCCTAAATACAATTTACTTTGGCCTTTGCCCAGACTTTTCCCTGACCTAGCAGTGCTTTACTGCATCGTCTTCAATTCATATCCTTTTCCCCCAAGTACTCCAAATTCACCCTTTACAGTTAGTTTTTAGACTTACCTTCACTCATATAGGATCTCAGTATTTCTACAAAAAACTCTTCGGTATTTCACTTGTTTGTTGTCTTATTACCACGCTCCCTCACTTCCCAATATACACACAGACAACTCAGTATGCTATAGGATCTTTATTATTGTGAATTGGGTGAAGGTTCATAGAGCAGATCATCAGTTTTACATTCAACAACTCAGACATTTTGCTTCATCTCATTGATTGAGATCCCTTCAGTGTCAGGAATGTATATATATATATAAAACAATATTTACCTCTGATGCCTTTAACCCTTGCACACCTCCCTAAATCTTTCCCTACCTCCATTGTTATTTATTTTTGCCAACCTCCTCCTTCTTTTTTTTTTACTTTTTAACTTTTTATTGTGAATTGGATGAAGTTTTACAGACAAGATCATCAGCTCTAAATTCAGCAAACCATATACCTTGTTTCATTTCAATGATTACAGTCTCCTCACGTCAACATTTATCCCACCCACTCCTTCCCTGTGACTCTCCATTTACATCTTGTATTTCATAAGTGATCAAGGCAAAATTATTTGATGTACATTTACAAACCAAAAAGTGCCTATATTCATTTATATGTCCAAAGGGCGCATTCTGTCAGCCAGCCTCCTGCCCACAGCACACAGCTACCATCTTTGCTGTCACCACTTTTCTAGATAGAGATCTCATGTTCCACTCATGCTTTTCCTTGCTGATGGTCCTGGGATCATCTGTTCTTGAAATGAACGATTACCCAACCCCTCCTTTTAGTTATACATCTCCTACAATTACAGTTATGGCGATCACAATTAATCCTGCTAACAGGTATTCACAATTGAATCATAAAAGCCTATTACTGTTATCCCCCACCCCCTAGATCACCAGATCTATCTGGGAAAGAGGGAAACTATTCAATGGGGATTCTACCTTACTTACCCTCCTCATTCTGTAACTAAGCACACTGATTAAAACTTACCAACCAGCCAATTCATGCCTTTGTAACCCCCCATTTTTGATAGCACATGTCTAAATTTCTCATTCTTATCAGCCCAGTACACTGAGGAAACAAGGTTGTTCCTTAATACAAAGAATCCTTCCATTCCTGTTGGAATTTGAGTTACCACATTCATAGGCAAAAGTCTAGTTGGTCAAAATGTAGCAGTTTTCACTTGTTCTCATTATAAAAAATCTTTATCTTCCTCAGTTTGTGTTCTGATCAACTAGGCATCCAAGCTAGGTCAAATGGGTACTAGCTCCAAGTTTGGGAGT